GTTAAGCGTCTGCCTTCAGCTCAGGTCATGATCCCAGGGTCCTGGGATCAAGCCCCACATCGGGCTCCCTGCTCGTCGGGAAGCCTGCTTCTCCCTCTCCCATTCCCCCTGCTTGTGTTCCCGCTCTCGCTGTGTCTCTCTCTGTCAAGTAAATAAATTAAATCTTTAAAAAAAAAAAAGAAGAATTTTTAAAAAGATTTTATTTATTTATTTTAGACAGAGAAGGAACATGTGGGGGGGAGGGGCAGAGAGAGAAAGAATCTCAAGCAGACTTCATGCTGAGTGCAGAGCCCTACATGGGGCTTGATCTCACGACCCTGAGATGACCCCAGCTGAAACCAAGAGTCGGATGCTCAACCGACTGAGTCACCCAGGCGCCCCAGAATTTTTTTAAAATGTGGGTTTATAAAAGGAGTCAAAGATAATTTACTCTATGTTCCTCACATTTCTTTGACAAAACCAGGGTGCTGCTGAGGACACAGGACAAAATACACTTGGCCCCATTTCTTGGACTCCTCAGTGTTGGGCAGCTACTCACTGGGATGCCAAGTCAAAAGAGATGTATCAGAACCAGTTTTAGGATAATGCTTAGGATACCTTAAAAGAAAACATTACATAAGTCTTCCCAGCAAATATTTTAAGAGTTATGCATACAAAGGATAAAACTCTTAACGCCTACAGTATTTTGCAAAATCCTTCTGTAAATCCGTCCTGGTGTTGACAAAAGCACGTCCTTTCTCGGTTCCAACGACAAACACGTCTGTCTCATACATGGCAATGCAGGCCACTTCTGCTTTGGACTTGGCCAACTCTTTACACTGAAATAGAAACAAAGAATACAGTGTTATATACCAGGGCAGATCCAGATCTTGTGGAGCCTGAGAGATCTGTTTTAAGAAAAGAACACGGGGGCGCCTGGCTGGCTCAGTCGGTAGAGCATGTGACTCTTGATATCATGATTGTGAGTTCGAGCCCCATGGTGGGCATAGAGATTAAATTTAAGAAAAATACAAAATTAGGTACAAAAATGAGCATTCATTTAGAATGAGAAAAATCTCCAAGACAAAGAAACAAAACAAATCCACCAAGCAAATACCATAAACATCATAAAACCCAGAGAACATATTTTTCTTAACTTATTAAGTTAATATTTTTATTAACTTATGATACTGTGGTTTATAACAATAAATAATATATTTGGTCTTCCTCCACTGTTCCTGGCCCAGAGCTCCTAAAACCCTTGGAATTTCCTAAGAGAGCAATAAAGGGATCTTTTTGTCAAGGTTAATGTCAAGGTCAGTGAGGGTACCTGATGGGGCTGGTTGCCAGGGGAACCAACCATGTGACTGGAGGAGCAGCACTTTCGGGCCCGCCCCCTGGCCTCTGGGGAGGGGAGAAGGGCTGGAAGTTGAGTTCAATCCCTAGTGGCCAGTAATTTAATCAATTGTGCCTATGTGTAATAAAGTCTCCATAAAACCCCAAAAGGACAGCGTCGGGAGCTTCCTGGCTGGTGAGCACATGGGGATTTAGGGAGAGTGGTGAACCGGGAGAGGACATGGAGCCTCCACACCCTTTCCCCATACCTTGCCCATGCATCTCTTCCATCTGGCTGTTCCTGAGTCACATCCTTTTATAATAAACTGGTAATCCAGTAAGTAAACTGTTTCTCTGAGTTCTGTGAGCTGCTCTAGCAAATTAATCACACCCAAGGAGGGGGGGCTCTTTGGAACCTCTGATCCGTAGGTCAGAAGCACAGGTTGACAACCTTGAGTTGATGTTAGCATCTGAAGTGAGGGGTGGCCTTGGAGGGTGGAGCCCTTAACCTGTGGGATCTTCCGCTCTCTCGACATAGACTGAGTCAGAATTGAGTCAAATTGTAGGACACCCAGTGGCTGTCAGCGAATTCTTGCTGCTTGTCAGAACTGGGGGCAGTATCTTTACCAGCTGACCTGCCTTTCCAACAGGTCTTTTTCCCCTATATTTTTGGCTACAGACTCTTTGACTGCCTCTTTCTATGACAACAATTTTAAAATATTTTCCATAGACAGAATAGAGAGATAACTTAGTATTTCCTCCAACCTGGTTGAGTATGTTTTTATTATTGATGGTAGGGATGTGCAACAGGTGAAAATTCATACATAAGACACACTTCCTGTTCATCGTAGGGCTACAGGTGTGTGTCCTACAGACAAGAAATCCATTAAATTTACTTTGTGTAAATCCTTCCAAAGACTGAAAAGAATGTGTGGTGTATTTATAACTGCATATGCTACATTGGTAGGTATATTCCTGACCAGAGAGAACTTCTGTGTTGTTTTTTTTTAAGATTTATTTATTCATGAGAGACAGAGAGAGAGAGAGAGGCAGAGGGAGAAAGAATCCCAAGCAGACTCCCCACTGAGTGTGGAGCCCGACGTGGGGTGCGATCTCACGACCTGGAGACCATGACCTGAGCTGAAATCAAGAGTTGGACGCTTAACTGACTGAGCCATCCAGGCGCACCCCCACCACCACCAAAAAACTTCTTAGTTCCCAGAGGGTTGAGGGAGGGGCGGGTGGGGAGTAATTTTGTTCAATGAGTGCAGAGTTTCAGTTGAGGAAAATGAAAAAGCTCTGGATAGGGATGGTGGTGACAATTACACGACAAGGTTAATGTATTTAATGCCCTTGAACTGGTTAAAGTGGTTAAAATGGTAAATTTTATGATCTCTATCTTACCACCATAAAAACCAAAACCAAAACCAAAACTCTTAATTTTCCCCCCAAGAAAACCTCACAACTCACATCCAATCTGTTGCTAAGTCCTGTCAACTCTACAGGTCCTTCTAGAAGCATCACTTCTTCCCACCTCCATCATTCCCAGCCTCGTCCATGCCAGAAATCTCCTGCCTGAACCATAGCCTTAGCCCGCTAACTGGTGTCCCAGCATCCCACTCTTGTTCCACGTTCACCAACTGTCCTCACAAGCACCACGCCCCCGCATGACTCCTTCACTCAGAACCTTCCAAATGTTTCCCACCACCCTGCGGAGAAAGGCCCAGAGCTCTACATGATCTGGCCACCTGGGGCCTCTTGAACCTTACCTCTGACCACTTCTCCTTTTCTCCCCCTGCTTCAGTGTTACTGGACTTCTTGATGCTCCTTGAAAATACCACTCTTGTGGGCGCCTGGGTGACTCAGTAGGTTAAGCATCCGACTCTTGGTTTCAGCTCATGTCATGATCTCAGGGGCATGAGATCGAGCCCCACATCAGGCTCCATGCTCAGCACAGAGTCTGCTTGAGATTCTCTCTCCCTCTTCCTCTCCCTTTGCTCCTCCCCTCCACTCACCCCCCTCTCTCTTGTTCTCTCTCTCGAAATAAAGAAAAAAAATCTTAAAAAAAAAAAAAAAAGTCCAGCCCAGTCATTTTGTAGAACGTCCCTTAATTTGGCTTTGTCTGGTGTTCCCCCATTAGATTCTGGTCTGCGTTTTTGGCAGGAATGCCACAGAATTGGCAAAGCCCCTTCCTGACGCATCATGTCGGGAGGCACATGATGCCAGTCTGTCCCCATTACTGCTGATGTTCACTCTGATCGCCTGATGAAGGGGGTGTCTCTCAGGCTTGTCCACTTTTATAAAGGTGCTGGTTTTCCCTTTCTAATCAGTAAGTATCTTGTGATCAGATTCCTTGAGATTAAGGACATTTCTCACCAGGTTTTCACCCACACGGTCCATTTCACACGTTGGAGCTAACTAGAGGCATATAAATGGACTATCAGCTTACCTCTGAATTCAGAGCAAAAACATTCTCAAACAAAGGAACAGAGGCACCCTCGTTAAATTTTCAGATCTGGAAAGCTCACGTTGATATAATTTTTTTTTTTTTTTATTCATTTGGGACAGAGAGATACAGAGCGAGAGAGAGAGCATGGGCAGGGGGAGGGGCAGAGGGAGAAGCAGATTCTCCTCTGGGCAGGGAGCCCGATATGGGACTCGATCCCAGGACCCTGGGATCATGACCTGAGCCAAAGGCAGAGGCTTAACCATCTGAGCCACCCAGGCGCCCATCACGTTGATATAATTACATCCATAGCATAAGAAGTGCCTTTAACAGTGACCTGCTGAGCCCGGGACCTCTGTGAAGAAGGCTACAGTTAAATAGACAGAGTGAAATGTGGCCCAGCTCTGCTATTTCAACAGTGGTCCAACTGGGGGACATTTTATAGAACCGCAGACCGCCTCACCATGGACTCCAGAGCAGACACGAGGAACGTCACCACCATCCTGCTCTCCGAGGACTCCTCGGTTTCCACAGGCAGGGCGGACACTTCCACTTGGGCCATGATCCCTGTCCAAGAGAAGCAACAAGAAAGTGAGCGGTGGAAATCCACGGTATCCTCTAAGCATGCGTTTAGAGCTGCGAGGGTCCACACTGATGACCTAGTTCCAACCTCCCTTTACAGGTGAAGAAACTAACCAAAGACATAAAGTGGTTTGGGGGCGCCTGGGTGGCTCAATCGGTTGAGCGTCGGCCTTCAGCTCAGGTCATGATCCCAGGGTCCTGGGATCGAGTCCCGCGTCGGGCTCCCTGCTCAGCGGGGAGTCTGCTTCTCCCTCTCCCTCTGCCCCCCATCCTGCTCCTGCGTGCTCTCTTGCTCACTCTCTCTCTCTCAAATTAATAATAATAATAATAATAATAATAATAATAATAATAATAAAGACGTAAAGTGGTTTGCCCAAGATCTCTGGCTAGGAATGCTAATTTTCATGAAGGGTGTTTTCCACTAAACCTGGACATCATCTCCTCGCAAAATAAATTCAAGTACTTTGCTGGAGAAGCATGTTAACCACTTCCTGATGACGTCAGTGCCCGACACCACACTCTGACTCCCAGCCACAAAAGAGAGAGAAATGGGTTTGTACACTCAAGGTGGGAAGAGATGATCCCAGCTAAGATTTCTCTGGCATAAAAGCTCACTCAAAATTCCTCCGAGTTCTAAATCAAGGTAGCATCCCAAAATGTCTCTGAAAAAATTTCTCTAACACCATAAAAAGGATTTTTTAAAAAAATTTATTTATTTGAGAGAAAGAGAGAGAGAGCACAAGCAGGGGAAGCAGCAGAGGGAGAGGGAGAAGCAGGCTCTCCGATGACCAAGGAGCCCAACGCAGGCCTCGACTCGAGGACCCCAGGATCACGACCCAAAGGCAGATGCCCAACCAACTGAGCCATCCAGGCACCCCCATAAAGAGGATTTTTTGAAGTAGAGCATTCTAAAGAAATACTGCTGGCTATGTTATGGCCCCAAAGCAGCTGGATTAATTATATTTGTAAGCAAAAGATAAATTAACAGATAACATGAATAGGTACATGGAAGGAAGCCGAAAGATAGATCGAAGGGAGTGAATTATGGTGGTTGTATAAGGTTATTCAGAAATATTCACATACGTCTCTCTTTTTTTTTTTAAGAATTAATTTATTTATTTGACAGAGAGGGAGAGAGCACAAGCAGGGGGAGTGGCAGGCAGAGGAAGAGGGAGATCAAATTGCTTTGGTTAAAAATTTTTATAAATCTGGGGCACCTGGGTGGCTCAGTTTGGTTAAGCATCCGACTCTTGATATCAGCTCAGGTCTTGATCTCGGGGTCGTGAGTTCAAGTACCATGTTGGGAGGCTCCCAGCATGGAGCCTACTTTTTTAATAAATCAGTCTCCCTATTATGAAATAGAATGTGAAAGGTGAATGGGACTTCATACCAGGCATGACCTGGCCATGAACAAGTAAGGAAATACACACGCTTCAATTTGGACCTTTTCTTTTTATTTTATTATTATTATTTTTTTAAGTAGGCTCCATGCCCAGTGTGGAGTCCAACATGGGGCCTGAACCCATGACCCTGAGATCAAGACCTGAGCTGAGATCAAGACTTGGATGCTCAACAGACTGAGCCACCCAGGCATCCCCAATTTGAAGCTTTTAAATAATTATCTTAAAATAAAACTTTGATTCTCCGTATCACACCCATATTTGAGAACAAGGAGAAGTCTGTCATTATAAACTACTTACACGTGGGTAGTTTATAAAATGAAAAAAATGACTAGGACATGGCCTTCTATGTCCTTAAAATAACCTCCAAGTTCAGAAGTCTCTCAATGAAGCAGACCAAAAAGCAAAGTGGAGCACCCATTCCTGAACTCAAACATTGTTCATGTCTGCAGATTTTATTCAGCAAGAAGAAAAATCATCAAAATGATCATTCACTGTCTCCTTTTGAAAAAGTTTTTATTATAAAAATTCTTTAGCTGAGCGCCTGGGTAACTTGTTTGGTTGAGCGTCCAACTCTTGATTTTGGCTCAGGTCATGAACTCAGGGTTGTGGGATTGAGCCCTGGGTCGGGCTCCACGCTGGGTGTGGAACCTGCTTAAGATTCTCTCTCTCCCTTTCTCTCCACCTCTTACCACACCGCCCCACCCCTGCTCACGATCTCTCAAAAAAAAATTCTTTATAACTGCTATAAACTAAATCCTCACTGGGATTACATTTCATTTCTTTGAAACACCTGTTCGTGTCATTAAAAAAAATTTTTTTAAGATTTATTTATTTATTTTAGAGAAATCATGTGAGCAGGGGGAGGGGCAGAAGGAGAGGGGTAGTGAATCCTCAAAGTAGACTTGCCTCCGAGCCCACCATGGGGCTTGATCCTGGGACCCTGAGATCATGACTGAAGTTGAAATCAAGAGCCAGCCACTCAACCAACTGAGCCACCTAGGCACCCCCAAAATTTTTAAAATCAAGGTATATTTTATGGAAAGTTCACTTTTTAAAAAAGATTTTATTTATTTGACAGAGAGAGAGGGAAAGAGAGAGCACAAGCAGGGGGAGCAGCAGAGGGAGAGGGAGAAGCAGGCTCCCCACTGAGCAGGGAGCCCAATGCGGGGCTCGATCCCAGGACTCTGGGATCATGACCTGAGCTGAAGGCAGACGCTTAACTGACTGAGCCACCCAGGCATCCCTGGGTTAACTTTGATTGTAATACTGCTTTATGTAGAATATTTTTGTTGATAGGAAATATACACTGTTAAGTATTCAGGAATAATGGGGCCACAGGTTGATAAGTTCTCTCAAATGGTTCAGAAAAAATAAAATTCTTTGTACCATACTCCCAACTTTTCAGCAAGTTCAAGATTATTTCAAAATTTTAACAATTATTTTTAGAAACTGAACATACTCTGTGTCAATTATTTGTACATTTCTATTTTCAGAAATTGTATGGTCCATCCTATGGGTTATATAATTCTTTTTTGGGGAAATCAGTCTCTAGAATGCACCATTAAGAACTCAGATTAAGGGCGCCTGGGTGGCTCAGTTGGTTAAGCGACTGCCTTCGGCTCAGGTCATGATCCTGGAGTCCCTGTATCGAGTCCCGCATCGGACTCCCTGCTCGGCGGGGAGTCTGCTTCTCCCTCTGATCCTCCCCCCTCTCATTTGCTCTCTCTCATTCTTTCTCTCTCAAATAAATAAATAAAATCTTTAAAAAAAAAAAAAGAATTCAGATTAAATTCTTTCATGAGAAGGGCACAACTTGAAATGATTTTTATTTTATGCAAAATAAGTCTGTTGGCGAATCTGGAGCTTTCACTCCAAAGTCCTGTCTACACTTTTAGAAATCAATGGCATTACTTGGTTGAAACAGTGAAATTATTTTCCCATTGGAAGTTACAAAGATTTAAAAATGAGCCTTTAAATATATTGAACATGTGTTCAATTTTTATCTAAGATAAAGCAAATATTTGTTTTTAAAAAAGACTAATATGGGTAAATTTGCACTGTTCTAAAAGTAAACTAGCAATCAAAACCCTTTAATATGTTATTATTATATAATAATATAATAACTAAGACTAAGTGGGACTTAGTTGTGACTAAGAGGGGCTCCCGGCTGGCTCAGTTGGTAGGGCATGCAACTCTTGATCTCAGGGTCATGAGTTCAAGCCCCATGTTGACGTGCGAAGCCTACTTAAGAAAAAAAGGAAACTGTGACTAAGAAACTGATATTCTTGACTAGTATCTTTCAGAGTAAACTAATTCCAACACTGTTTTAAAAAACAAAACAAATCAAAAAACCCTTCTTACACAACAGAGTCCCATCTTACAATGGAAGTAGGCACGCCCAAAGGCAAATTCACGCATGGTCAAAATCATCTTAGGAAGCAAAAAATACCTGTCCCAGAGAGAACATTTTTCTTCTATGATTTCTTTAATTATTTAGGGAAATGATTTTCCCCTTTATCACTAGATGCAACTTCGCCAACACGGCACATTTTTTCACATAAGTGGTTCTAAAATGTGTCAACCCCGCTGGGGTGGATTTGAGCTGTTTATCAGAAGGCCATCCTTCTTTGGGGGAGGGCTTGGTTCCCTTTTCTTTTAGAATTTTGCCATCAATAGTTAGTTAAGCCTCCAACTCTTGATTTCGGCTCAGGTCATGATCTCAGGGTCATGAGATCGAGCCCCGCTTTGGGCTCCAAGCTCAGTGCAGAGTCTGCTTGTCCCTTTCCCTCTGCTCCACCCCCCCAATCGTGCTCTTTCTCTCTCTCTTTCTAATAAATAAACAAATAAATAAGTAAAATCTTAAAAAAGAAGAGTTTTGGGGCGCCTGGGTGGCTCAGTCGGTAAGCGACTGCCTTCGGCTCGGGTCATGATCTCAGGGTCCTGGGATCGAGCCCCACGTCGGGCTCCCCGTTCTGCAGGAAGCCTGCTTCTCCCTCTCCCACTCCCCCTGCCTGTGTTCCCTCTCTCGCTGTCTCTCTCTGTCACTCTCTCTCTGTCAAATAAATAAAAAAAAATCTAAAAAAAAAAAAAAAGAGTTTTGCCATCAATAGCTATGTCTTTGGAGTTCACGTCTTCCAGCCATAACTGTAATACTTTTCTGTCTCTCTAAACTCTTATTACCTACTTGGCTGGTCATCAAGCAGCTACTGGAACACGAAATGCCCTTGTTTGATGACTTGCACGTTGACGGCATGAATACTGGATTCCCTGGGACCACATCTCTAATGGTGACCCCTCACCAAGTCCTGCTGGACAGTTTTCCCTGCAGTCTAGACACGGATGGCTGTTTCTTCCATTAATCACCCAGTGAAGTAGGTTAGGGGCCATGATGTATGAAAAACACACATTTTTGTTTTAAGATTTTATTTATTTATTTTTTATTTATTTATTTATTTTAATTTATTTGACAGAGAGACAGCGAGAGAGGGAACACAAGCAGGGG